TGTGCTGTAAAGAAGCAAGAGGGTCAAACTACTGTTTTTTCAGGGGAAAGAGAAAGTCTCTGAACACCTGCCCTGTGATGCACCACAGTCGAGAGCCGCTGAACACAGCTCAGCTACCCCCAAGGGCAGCGACAAACCCCAGCGGTGTCTCACACCTCAACTCTCCCTGCCAGGACGAGCCTGCTGCCCAGCCTGCTGGGCCCCAAATGGAGGGAGGGGTGCTCCCCCCAGGGCCTGCGGCACTGGCACTGCCGCCCCAAGCACACTTCAGGCTGGGCCCTCCCGATGCCGCTGCCAGCTGCACAGAATCACAGAATCACAGAATGTTAGAGATTGGAAGGGACCTCGAAAGATCATCTAGTCCAATCCCCCTGCCGGGGCAGGAACACCTAGATCAGATCACACAAGAACGCATCCAGGCGGGCTTTGAATGTCTCCAGAGAAGGAGACTCCACAACCTCTCTGGGCAGCCTGTTCCAGTGCTCTGTCACCCTCACTGTAAAGAAGTTTTTCCTCATACTCAAGCGGAACCTCCTATGTTCCAGCTTGAACCCATTGCCCCTTGTCCTATCACTAGATGTCACAGAGAAGAGCCTGGCTCCATCCTCCTGACACTCACCCTTCACGTATTTATAAACATTAATTAGGTCACCCCTCAGTCTCCTCTTTTCCAGGCTAAAGAGACCCAGCTCCCTCAGCCTTTCCTCATAAGGGAGATGCTCCATTCCCTTAATCATCTTTGTGGCTCTGCGCTGGACTCTCTCCAGCAGTTCCCTGTCCCTCTTGAACTGAGGGGCACTCACCCTTGCGGCACAGAGCCAGCCGTGGCAGCTTCCCGTGGGTCAGCTCGTGACGGAGATCCACCACCCAGATGGGGATATCCACCTGGAAGAGCAGTCACAGGCATCACCCCACGGTTCCCACTGCATCAGGCCACAGCGGCATGCAACCCTGCATGGCTGCGGAGAACTTCTGCCTGGGTCAGAACAGCCCCTTCCTGGCCACTCCTGCACTGCAGCCCCCCAGCTGCCCACTGCAAGGGTGGGCTGAGACCCCCTCCTCTCTCATCCCACTCCCCCTGCGGCCTATGATCCATATAAACTTGGGATTTTACAGTTCAAGTTCTTCAACATTACGTGCAACAACGGATGCCTTTTTAGACAGAGGTGTTGTGTAAAATTAACGAGATACTGACAAGCAGTTAAATTATATTTAAACTGTCAAAACATTCTGGATGACAGCTTGTATATCAAAGACACAAATAATATCAGATATAATACTCAAATCATATACATTCAAAGTTGCATGCAATTTCTTGCAACTTTCCTGCAGACAACTAACTTTAATAATGCAAGAAATCTATTTTTTAAGCTTGATCAGTTTTAAAAGGTGAGAAGCAGTACCTTTCTTAAAAACTAAGCAAAAATAATTTAAAAAAAAAACCCAAACAATTCAGCAATCTCACACAGGGGCCCCAGACAGGACTACATGTATAGGATAGTCTCAAACACTGTCTGTTCTTCACTTTCAAAACTTGCTGTTCAGACCCAGATATGATGCTCAGTGCAGCCAGCAATACTCAAGTTGTTCTTGCCCCTACAATTACACCTTGAACCTTCCCTCCTCCATGCAGAAGTGGACAAGGTCACCTCAAGCAAGAGACACAAGATTAAAATGCCTACAAATGTGATTAAGTACTTTTTATTTATAACATTGCTTGACAAAGACTGGAATTTATAAACAACCATAGATTTAGCTCTTTTTCCACATCTCAGCAGCTAAGAAACAAAAATGTATGGTGTGTATGTCACGTGGGATTTGTTAATCCTGATCTGATTTTAAAGACTAACGTTTTAGATCGAGTTATATCAAGCCTCTTTAAAACTCTGCAGTTGGAAAGAACTGGCATCTATACCCATTATTTTGATTACAAAAGAATGACCCCCCCCAAAACTCCCCTCATCCAGTGCTGTAAACAGACAATGCACGTGCTCTCTCTATATACATAAATTATTCAATAACTCCTATTTACCTCTTTGGCTAATTGTCTCAGAGGAATGCTGGCCATTTTCTGTTTCCTTTCTGTGATCAAGTTGACAAACCTACATGCAGGTTATAGAAAAGATAAATGACTATCAAGAGCTGCAGAGAAACCTGGAACTCCAGAGACAAATCTCCTACACGCTGTACAACACTGCGGCCCCAGAGATGCGAAGCAAAACGAGACAGCTGAACAGCGCTATCTGTCCAGGTCTCCCTCTCTCACAGCACAGAGTCCTACCTTACAAGAGCCAGCCCATAAGAGAGGATGAGCTCATGCGACTTCACTCTGCCAGATGAATCCAGGACCTTGCAACGAATCAGTTCAGCAGTGCAATCCACTGCGAGAGGCATTTTGGGACCATACCTAGAGATAGAGGGAAAACAGGTAAGCAAGTCTCACAATACGCTCCCCAGCAAAAAGGGTAGCTTTCTGGCTACTTCTTATGCTCTGTGGTACTTAACAGCCTGAGAAACACTATGCAGAAAGACAACACCAAAGCCTTTTTCTAGCAGGCTTTCCTTTGGAAGAGAGCGATTCCACGCCTGCTCCCAAACAGAGGCTGAACTCGTGCTTGCGGAGACGCTAAGCCCGCCCAGGACACAATCTGCCAGGCCCGGACGGGTCTGGTGTGCGGCCGCGGCAGAGGCAACACACCGGCACCAGGCGGCCTGGGGCCCTGGCTCTGCTCCCTGC